CACATGGCACTGTCTGTGAGGGAGTTTTTAGCCAGTAAACAAATAACTGTATTGGAACACCCTCCCTACTCACCTGATCTGGCCCCCATTGACTTCTTTCTTAACCAAAGATAAAGGAAATATTGAAAAAAAGACAATTTGATGACATTCAGGACATCAAGGGTAGTACAATGACAGCTCTGATGGCCATTCCAGAAAAAGAGTTCCAAAATTTCTTTGAAGGGTGGACTAGGTGCTGGCATCAGTGCATAGCTTCCCAAGGGGAATACTTCAAAGGTGACCATAGTGATATTCAGCAATGAGGTATGCTGCACTTTTTCTAGGATGAGCTCACGAACTTAGTTGTCCAACCTTGGATGTGGCTCCACACGTCCCCCTGCTCCAGTCCCCATACATACTCGGCAGGAGCAGATCATAGGCATTCGTGCTCAGTTCAAAGTAACTTGTTCTGAGCCATATCTCCTGATCTCCCTGGGAGCTCTTAGGACCTTGTCTAGCTCTGCTGATAAGCCTGGAAGAGCTTGGTTTTTACTAGACATTTAGTACTTGGCTCACTCCTTAATATTCACTTTCAGTAAGTCACACAAATAACCAGAATTACATAAATCTCGTTTATCAGCATGAAGCAAAGTGAAAGAAAAGGAATGGAGATTATCTCAAAGTTGATCTGCTTGATTAGACAAGGAAATGTTGAATAGAGGACTATAACATACTTGGGTGACCTTGACTCCAAAAGCCCAGATGTTTAAATCCCAAATTCTCTCGCAATCCTGATTGAAGCCACCTCAATCATTTACTTTTATTTTCTAGTTTGCTCCTGTATAAACTTCTAATATTTATTCCAATGGGATTATCTACCAATAAGTGTTATTAACTGAGCATTTGGCTCTGGATCTGAGGCGGTTCCTTTCAGCAAATATTTGACAACCTCTTATGTAGTAGGCATTTTGCATGGTGCAGCAGGAGATACAACACTACACAAGAAAGACTTACCCTTGTCTTTGAGGAACTCACAGTCTGGCAAGGAGACACACATTAAATAAACAGTTAAGAAATGATTCTGCAAGTAACTAATTGCAATTCTGACACATGCTACAAAGGAAAAGTACAGAGTGTAAAGAAAGTAGGCAACAGGGGGACATAACCAGGTCTCAGGGATGCAGAGAGAGCATCCCTGAGGAAGTGGTATTTAAGCTAAACCATCTGAAAGCAAGCATTCAAGAGAGGAAAATCACACACACAAATAAGCCTTGAGGCAGAAAGGAACTTGGCACAAAAGAAGATCTGAAAAAAATGAGGCTGGAGCAAAACGTACAAGAGAGTAAGATAATGCTGGAGAGACAGGTGAGGGTCAGAAGTACAGATTCTTAGAGATCACATTGAAAATATGGAGTTTCAGTCAAAGGGCAATGGAAGCCATCAAGGTTTTAACCCAGAATTATGGTCTGGAAGATGACTGTAGATGCGAAACTGAATACTCAGGGCCCAGAGTCACAAACATATATTCAATTCTATGAGGATTTGAATAGCTTTTTGAAAATATTATCAGGACAATAAAATATCTCTTCTGCAAAAAAAAATTCAAAACTGACTTTTTCATAGATTAAATGTCCTAGGATGCTGTAGGTCAAGCTGTGTTCTTTGAGAAGTCCTTTTCTTTAGATGGGGTCTATGTTTTTATCAAGTCTGGGAAATGCTGCTCCAGGACTTGGATGGAGAATGACTTGGAGGGAGATACAAGTGGTTAAGACAAACATTTGGAAGTTATTTGGGAGGGGGGGGGAGAGGGGGGAGGTAGGGTACAGAATTTATGGGGCGTTAGATGAGAGTAACGGTAGTAAAGGCAGAGAGAAGCAGATTGGTTCCAGAAGGTAGAATGTTTGATGCTGGTGATTGATGTCGTCAGTGATTGAGGAAGACAGGTATCAGGCTTGACAACCAGACTTCAGATAGATACAACCGAGCTGAGAGTGAGCTAATTCAGGTTAACAATTATAGACTGCCTGTTATGTACTAGATACTAGTCTCAGCACCCTCATGATAACTCATCAAATTCTCACAAAATCTTGAGAGAGAAGAACTGTTATTATCTGCATTTCACTGATAAGAAAACTGAGACCCCAGGGGTTAAGGGACTTACCTAAGGCTGTTTGCAGGTCTGTAGCCAGGGCCATGGTCAGACCAAGAGCCTGCCTTCTCAGGACACAACAGGGGAGATGACAGGGCAGGAAGAAAAATCAGAGCTGGTTGATCCTGTGCTTTAGCTTGTATGAATCCAAGTCTCTTGGCTGCTGTGCCGTCTCAATGCAGCCCTTCTCAGCAGCTCCCCTGGGGTTTCGCAACCTCCCACCTGGAACCAAAGCTCCCACAAAGGAACTATTGTCCATGGATGGCTGCTAAAATGATTGTTTCTGTGGGGGGATGTGAGCTAGGCACCTCCTATTCTGCCATCTTGTTGATCCAGAACAATCATCTTAAAGATAAATTAATAGTATTTTCTAATAATTCTTGGAAGAACCATGACAGACAACACTTCTCACATGTAGCATCTTTGCTGGCATGGCAAAAATCCACATTTGATGTATATCTCTGTGGTTATCCTTTTGGGTTAGGTAACTCTCAGCGTATCTGTCTTAGGAGAAAATCATAGGTGAAAACCACTGTGCCAAAGACCCTCCCATGCACCAGGCTGCCCCATCAGGCCTGCCCCAATTTCAGACTTAGAACTTCTGCTTCCATTTTTATATGTTGTAAGCCCTTGCCCCATCACATCTAACCTCTCAGGAGACCTAAATAAAACGTAACAAAAGTGGAACAGAAAAGAGAGAAACATTGCTGAAAATAGTCATTTACCTAATTTATTCTCATTGGGCTGAAGGCAAGAACCATGAATCCTGAAGGTTTGGAATAGAAAACAAAGAAAAATTATTTCCTCATCCTCCCTGACCATACCTTGCAAGACTTCTTCCTGGTTTATCATACTACTTGGACAAATACATTTGACCACACCTCCTGATATTGCTCAATATTTGCTTGAGTGAAAGAGACTGAGGTAAGCTGGAGGAGGAGCTCTCATTACCTTCTGTCCATCATCCAATAAATAGCCAGGCCAGCCAAGTCCTCACCATTCCAATACCCTGCTGGAGAGATGAGACACTCACACCAGCTGCCCCTGGTGGGGGTCCTATTGTTTTCTCTTATTCCAAGCCAACTATGTACAATATGTGGTGAGTATGCTTTGAGCTGAAATTACTCTAATGTGATAGTTTTCCTGACAGCCACAGACAGGGGACTTTGTATAGAGTTACCTTGGGAAAGACCCATTTTCAGTTCTATATATGGTTGGACTCTATGAGTAACGTAAAGGGTGGCAGGAGATGGTAAGGAAAGGTCCACAATGTATGTTGTTTTAAGAGGGATCATAGATTTGATGTTAACTTGCCTAAGTGTTCTTCCTACGCTCAGATGCTGCCTACCACAGCAACACCACCAAGTAACTGTCTATGCTTGTTCATTTTCAATGAAGGAAAATTTATGATCCCAGAAATTTTTCAAGATCGTAGAAAGTTATCTTTTGATTCTGAGGTGCAATCTATTTTTCTAAAGTTCAACCCACTGGTTTTGAGTTAACCCCTTGTAACAACACAGAAAAAAATAATGTTAATAATCTCGTTCAAATAATGAAAACTGCTCTCTTGTCACTGCTAAGTGTAGTTGTTCCAGGCTACACATCTCCCTCCCTTCAACCCTTCCCCAAGGGACATGGGTACAGACCCCATCATCTCTCCTCTGGGTGTAGGCTCCAGTGATTGTCTGATTCTATTAAAAAATAGTAAGTAAGAGAAAGAAAAACTGGGTTCAGGTCTAGTATGACCCCTTAGTAGCTGAATGATCCAATGTTTCTGAATTTCATTAACTTCATTCCTAAATGGAGGCTAATCAGGAAAGGGTGTTGAAGCAGGTGATTTCTTGAAGATCCAATGTAGCTCTCAGGTGCATGATTTCTGCATGTAAGTCCTTACCCTGGAATTGACCTTCAAATCAATCCAAGGATGACTATGTAGTGCCATCTGTGGCTACATCTTCCTGGTTCCCTGTAGCCTACCAGAAGAGATCAACACCCCAGCAGAAAGACTTATATTCATACAAGCTAAAACACAGAATAGGCCAACTCTACTTTTATTTCCTGGCCTGTCGTCTTCTCTGTTGTAGCCTAAGAATAGGGGGTCCCTATGGAGGCTCTGAAGTTCAATTCATTGCACAAAATAATTAACTTTGTCTTTAGTGGTCAAGAAAGCTGATTTGAGTTGTTGACCAGGAACTAAACAGTCTGTTTCAGTGCCAGAAAATCTGCTGAACTGGAAGCTTTCAACAAAATCTCAGCGATGACTCTCAATTGTTCAATTGTGCATATAACAAATCATGACATTTCTATAATCACTCAATTCAGCTCTTCCTGACTCTCTATTTTAAAGTGAAGAAAGGTGGGCAAGGGAAATCGCATGTCCTGGATTCTCTAAGTATAGGAATAGACACTCCAGTAAGCTAAAAGTAATTGTATGTACAGTATTTTACAGTTTATGAAGGGATTACTTGTCCCATATCTATGAAATACATGTTAATAGCCACAATTTTAAAATGAGGAAACTGGAGATCAGGAAAGTCACATAACTTAACCACAGTCATAAGTGAAGGAACACAAAATCCAGCCAACGCCTGGCAGGACCCAGGGCTCATGCCCTTCTCACTATGGCAGTAACCCATGAGATAATCTGGAGATGGGTAGGATTATGGACAAAGCATATGCAGCAACGTTTTAAGTGGTAACTAACTCTTCTTGTTCTCCAGCTCTTGTGGAACTCTGGACTCTCTTTTTCACTTCCACAGTATAATGTGATTCCCTCTCCCCTCCACCCTGGGGTTTGGACAGGTTGCAGGCTAACACTGGAGGGTTTCCCAAAGCGTGCCTACCGCTGCATAACGATCTTGATACCTGGCCAGTTAGTTAATCGCACAATTCAGCTGTTGAGGTCAATCACCAATGTAACATAGAATTTTTGCCTTCCCTCCCTCTGATTTAACTGAATTGAGTTAGAAGAAGAAGGAGAAGAAAAGAACTCAATCCAGGAAGCAGAAAGGGCTATAGCCTGGGAGTCAGAAGAGGTGTAGTCTAGTCTCAGTTAAGGCTCTGATTACAGAGGTTTCTTTAAGGACTTCCTTTCTAGGTATCATATCCAAAATTAGGGCATGATACTAAATCTCCCAGGCAGGACTGATATTCTGCCAGTACACAGTAGTAAGGCTGAACCAGTTGTTAAAATATTAAAACCCTTTCCATGCTGGTTGGTAAAGTAGCAACGCCTGCCATCACAGGGACTTCAGGCCCACTTTTTATTGTTCCAGCAACAGAGCCAGTGACCACTGAATTGGTCTATGTCCATGCCACATATATTACTAAATGTTTTACTATCACCTCTGTTCCTAGCCTTACTATTTTCTGAGTGTGTGTTTCATATTTCCTCCCTCTCCTGCCACAGAGGTAAGCAAAGAAAACTACTCCCGTCTAAATCCTCTAATAAACACAATGATCAATTCAAAATATGCCAAAGGAGTCCAAGCTGCCAATGTCCTGTTGTCCCTTAGACTTGTTGGAATCCGGAACCAAAGCATAGAACAACAGCTGATCCAACAAGTTCACGACAGTGAGGAAAGTACAGGTAAGTGTCTATACTCTCAGCAAGCTTTAGGATAACAGCTACCTATCTACTAAGATGATCTCCAGTGAGTCCTGAAAATTGTGTGTCCAAGGAGGTATCCCCGTTGCATCTATCATAGCTATATAAAATTTGAGGTAACATAAAGTTACCTCAAAATATCAATCCCCTGCCACTTACTCTCAAGCTAAGCCTTACTTACCTCGTTGGATCCTGAAAGCCATTTTCCTTCAAGAGGTCACAAGGAAAAGCAAAAGAAATTATAGACTCTTATCCATTAATACTGTTCTATGAGCTAGCTGAGTTCACAACCAGATAGAGGTGTGGACCACAACTAAGAAAGCTGACAATAGAGAAGCAAGCAAAGAGCAATAGAGACATGGCCTGGGTTCGAGTCCAGGCTCTACCTTGAGCCTTTCATGTCAATATAGAACCTCAGCCTTCTAATTAATATAAAGAGGAAATGAAGCCACCCCTAACTACCTCTTATTGTAAGAATTATGAAAAAGCCTGCGAGTTTTGATACTCTATAAGGCAGAACATAAAAGTCAATTATTATTATCCTGGCAAAATGATACACACAGAGAGAGAAAACCCCAAGATTTTATTATTTATCTATTTTTCTTCTTTTTTATTTTCATAAGGATTGTCTTATTCTGAAAAGATCCCATTATTTCATGGGAAGGACTAAGATCTCACTTGCATTTATTCAGTACTGCTAGAAAAGGCTTTGCTTGTGGGATAAAAAAGAGAACAATAAAAAATTAGTGTAGAGTGGAACAGGCAACATAAGTCACAGGAAGACAGGAGGCCAAAAACGTCACAAGCATGGACCTTGTTAAACTTGAATACTTTTCTTTTGGGATCAGATTTAACCTCGGGTCAGCTTGCCTTGGTTATACTGGCTTTGGGAGCATGTCAGAGCTCTGATGAAACATTTGCATACCCTCACCTGGTCAGCCAACTGGAAAAGAAATTCCAAGCAGAAATTAAAAACATGGGTAAGAATCAAATATCCAGAGACCCTGGATAACCTTGTCTTCTCCTCCACTGATTCAGAACCATATGAAGTTTCCCTCCACTCTTTCCCTCTCCTCTTCATTCTGTTCATCCCACTCTATCTTTGTAGATCACCTTCCCTTCTTCCCTCTTTCAACTTGCATCTTGAATTTTCTTTTCAAATATGTTCAACTGAGCATTGACCGTACATCAAGCACTGTCTTATATATGATGATGATGAACACACACACACACACACACACACACACACAATTCTCTAGTCCTCCAGAAGCTTGGCTTTTAGACAAATAATGAATTCCACCAGAAATGGCTGAGCTATACAAGACACTGTGTCATAAATACCAAAGCATACAATACTAGTGCAAGAGCTAAAGATGGCCCAAAGTACTTTATCACTGAGGAAAATAGGTTGACCATGATGGCTGCTAGTGAGGTGCATCGTTATTATTTCAACTCCTACCCAATATTCTATTAATTATTAAGTCTCTCCAATCCCATCTTCCTTTAAGATGACTTCTATTTCTTCCACTTCTACTTAGAGTTTCAACACATCACTATCGAAAGTGTAAGAGGCTTGGTGGTGGGAAATCTCTATTCTAGAACTAGCTCTGTAACCACTTAAATATCAGGATGGTATTTTAATCTCTTTCATGCTGGGTCTCCTCAGTGATAAAATGAAAGGAGTTGAGTTGAATTTGGTGGCCCTTGAGAGCCTTTAAATTTCTCAAGTTTGCTGGTTCTGTGAGTGATTCCCCCCTTTCCATTACTCACCTCTCCTTAAATGTAAAAACAAAAAAAAATGGGAATAAAGTAAGTAGGAATAGACTGCAAATGTATTACTCCTGTACCACTTCCATGAGTAAGTTGCTTCTTTTCTCTCTGACAGAAATACACCATGGCAACCCACTGACTAACTACTACCAGCTCAGCTTGGACATTTTGGCCTTGTGTCTGTTCAATGGAAAATACTCTATCAACAGAGTTACTAAACTCTTCACTCCTGAAAATAAAAACTTCTATTTTGGTGGCCAGTTCTCAGTAGGTGAGTCATTAATCCAATTCCCCTGATAGAAAGGACACCATTAGCAGTAGGTCTTGCCCTGGGGGGTTTTCTACAAGTTAAGTAGTAGATTTTTGTCTCCCCTGGTCTCCTCAGAAGAGAATTTTGTTGAGAAGAATGGATATTGGGTGGCAATTAGGTCTCTTTCTAGATGTGTAGTATAGAAAGACCTGGTTCCTAGCCTAGCTCTTCTTTGGGTTAAGTAATGAATGGATGTGAATTCTTGACTTTAATTTTCCCATGTGTAAAACGAGAATAGATCATGAGACTCTTCATGTAACATACTTTAGGAAGGATAAGTGTTAGAGAAAGGGAATGTAGTGGAATTCATTTATTTTACCCCGGGCCTCTTTCTCCAATTTATTGGGACCATTTGAATGTGAGAGTTTTCTTGAACAGCACAATCTCTCCAGGAGATGAGCCACAATATTTTGATCAATAAAGTGTGTGTTCACAATGGGGAAGGACCAGAAATTTCCCACTGGGTCAGCTTACACATCCAAAAAGAAGTGCCCTCTAGAAGCTACTAGTGGTGCTCCGCCCCTCTGGATCCGGATGCACAAGCTCATCTTTCTCCAAGAAGCTCAATGAAAATCATTCAGTGTCTCTAGGTAGTAAGAAGAATGTGAGACTTCTCATACTCCTTTGCCCATGCAAGAGGGAAGCCACCACCCTTAAGGAACTTGGGGGGACCAAATAACAATTGAGAAAAACAGGCCTTATCCTCACTTCTTTCAATCTCTTGCTTCATAAGGGGTTTATTGGAAAAGAATTCTCTTAAGTGCTATTTTCTGATCAGTCAAATGAAAACCTTGAAACATTACCAAGACATAGTTTCTTTGGTATATCACCCTTCATTTACTCAATTCCTTTGCCAATATGGCTGAAAGATGAAAAAAAGAAAAAAAAACAAGATGTAAAAGTAGAAGACTGTTCATGTGTTTTCATGAGCAAGATATGACTTATTGAGAACAAGGTACGTGGCTCCTCAATATAAGGAAAGAATCTTGAACTATTTGAGTGGTTAGCGCCAGCAAGATGATTGCTATAGCTTGAAGTCTTTCTCTCCCAGCACTGACAAGCATAACCAGCCACCCCAGTTTGCCCAGATCTCTTCCTCGTTTAGCTCTAAAAGTCCCACATACCAGTAAACCCATCAGTTATGGGCAAACCGGGATTATTGGTCACCCTGTCACCAAGGTTTTGTTTCCTGACAGATACTGGTGCGATGGCTGTCCTGGCTCTGACCTGTGTGAAGAGAAGGATAGTAAATGGACAGATTAAAACAGATGAAGAACATTTCAAGCATATCAAGGGTCACATAAAGTCACTGGTAAAAAAGATTCTGTCTGAGAAAAAAGAAAATGGTCTCATTGGAAACCTATTTAGCACAGGAGAAGCTATGCAGGTAAGTCAAAGGATAAAATAGGAGACAGAGAAGAGTTGTGAAGGAAAGCAATATCTTTATCCTTCCTTATTGGCCTTCTAAGATCTTATTATCCACTCTGTTCCCTAGACTACCTTTGATTTTACTCATGTGATTCCTCTTCCCTGCCTGAAATGTATTCTCCTTACCTTCAGTCTTTACCTTTCCATATCCAATGCTTCTATGAAGCTTTTCCTGACTACAATATTTTTTTTTAAGATTTTTATTGGGGAATTGGGGGGATGGGAACAGGGCTGGGGAATTGGGGGAAGGGGAACAGACAAGTTGCTGTTGTTTTGTTTTGTTGTTGTTCTTCAGTCTAGTTGTGGAGGACGTTGCTTCACTGGCCCAAGTTGGCACCATTATTGCGCTCTTCCCGGGTGAGGCACATCAGTCGCCGGCTTCTGGACGGCCGCTCACTGCGGCTGCTGACCGCTCACGCTGGCTGCTTGCTACACACGGTAGCCCATGGCAACCCACTGCCACAGGGGCTGCAGCCTATGCTGTTGCCGGCAACTCAGGGCACCCCAGCTCCGGGTTGAGCTGTTGTTCAGCATCTTAGCTGTAGAGGGCAGTGTCACTGGCCCTCATATGTGGGATCCAAACTGGGGCCCTCTGGCGTCCCAAGCCAGTTCTTAACCATCGCGCCACTCGACCGGCCCCTGACTACAATATTTTTAAGAAATTCTAGAGTCTACTACAACTACAACCTATCTTGTTCTATCAGATGTACTTTCACACTATACCATATACCATCATTTGGTGCTTTCATCTTATCTCTGAAACTAGATTATTGTTGTAGAAGTGGTTAGTGGCAATAACAGCAACTGGTATTTGTTGACATTAATTCAATGCACACATTATAGAGAAAAAATTATTACCTCTATTTCCTATGATAAGAGCACGAGTCACGCAGTATCAGTAACTTGCCTAATCTTACAAAACCAGAAAGTGAGGCAGACAAGGACTGGTCCTAAACAGTTGGTTTCAAAACTCACACTCAGGGGCCGGCCGAGTGGCGCGATGGTTAAGAACTCGCTTGGGATGCCAGAGGGCCCCGGTTCGGATCCCACATATGAGGGCCAGTGACACTGCCCTCTACAGCTAAGATGCTGAACAACAGCTCAACCTGGAGCTGGGCTGCCATGAGTCGCCGGCGACGGCGTAGGCTGCAGTCCCTGTGGCAGTGCATTGCCATGGGCTACCGTGTGTGGCCAGCAGCCAGCGTGAGCGGCCAGCAGCCGCAGTGAGCGGCCGTCCAGAAGCCGGCGACTGATCTGCCTCACCCGGGAAGAGTGCAATGATGGTGCCAACTTGGGCCAGTGAAGCAATGTCCTCCACAACTAGATTGAAGAACAAAACGACAGCAACTTGTCTGTTCTCCTTTCCCCAATTCCCCAGCACTGTTCCCATCCCCACAATTCCCCAATAAAAATCTTTAAAAAAAAAAACAAAAACTCACACTCAGCCCCTACACTTCCTGTTCCATGAAGTCTGGGATTTTATTCCTGCAGTGATTTACTCAACCCTAAGGGATTAATACAAGAAGAGATCAAGGAAGATTTAAAGAAAAAATGTTTTTCACTGAGTCTTTAGTATGCATAGGGGTTTTTAAGGCTGACTCAGGGTGAGAGAACCTTCAAAGGGACAGAGGATAGCAAGGACAAAGACCAAAGGCATCAAAGAACATCACACTTTTTAGGAAGGTCAAGGAGTTTGGCATGGTCAGCATAGGGTCCTTGGGGAAAATGACAAGATGAGGCTGGTGCTGTAAGCAAGAGTCTAATCATATGGTTGTTTGTATTGTTGACACTATTTGTGTTGTCTGCCTTGCTAAGTTTGAATATAAAACGGTGGCTTCCCAATCTGGCTGCATCTTTGAATCACCTGGGGGTGATATTAATTCACAGCAGGATAAAGAGCTTCCTGCCTACAAGACAGTTTTTAAGAGGAGCTGTAATATGGTCAGCTTGCTTTCTTTTTAACATCCCCCAAATGCTTGTTGACTACTTGGTTAACTTTAAGAGCCTTCAAGAAAAGATGACAAGTGGGGGGATCTGCTCTTCCCCGAGAAACTATGCAGCAACATCTTCAAGTCCGACCCATTTTACTTCTTGTTTTGTTTGCTCTAATGCCCTCCTAACTTTTCCTGCCCCATAATTCGGCCCCTTCAATCCAATTTACATCTGCTGCCTAGAGAGTTCCTGTTCAAGAGCCCACCATACTCCCCACTGTTCAGGACATAATGTCAGCCACCTTCCCCTGAAATTCAGTGGTCTAGCCCTCTGACCACCGCCTTCTCCAGATTGTTCTTCCACAACTGCCCTGAGCGTTCCCTGTGCACCGGTCTCTCCAGACCAGGAGAGAGATCCTCCGGGATTTTGCTAAAATGCAGATGCTTTCATCATGACCAGACCATGCCCTGGCCACTGCTACTTTAGCAGCTTTGGTCATGCTGTTCCCTCTGGGTACAGTGCTCCCCTCTTTATGTCACCTGCTGAAATGCTGTCCTAAGTCCTACCTCAAGTACTGCCTTCTCCCCAAGCCTTTCCTCAGCCCCACCTAATGTTTGGAGCGCTTCCTGTTCGGGAAGGCCTGCCCACTAGGTGACTCTCTGAGAGCATTCACCTCAGGGGCTCTTCCAACAGTTTGTGAACAATATTTATTGAGTGGCTCCTCTATGACAGGTACTGTTCCAGTGCTTGTATCCAGTGACGGGATACAGGAGTGAATACGGTAGAGAAAGGCTGTTCTCACTGGCACTATTATAGTTTGTTAATATTAAGCAACTCCCCACCTCCCCACCCAAATAGTTTATAAACTTCTTGATGGCAGGAACGTTAGCTTGGTTGTCTAAGATGCTGCCTGTGTAGTCAATATCCAATAAATATTTTCTGAATTAGTTAGATGTAGGCTTTCCCCTGATTTGAAGTTTCTCATTCATTTTCATTTTCTCTCTCTCTCTCTCTCTCTCTCTCTCTCTCTCTCTCTCTCTCTCTCTCTCATTAGGCTCTCTTTGTCTCATCAAATGAATGTCTCAATGAAAATGAATGGAATTGCCAACAAACTCTGGACACAGTGCTCGAGGAAATTTCTCGGGGAGCATTCCACATACCAATTGCTGCAGCACAGATCTTACCTGCCCTGGTGGGAAAGACCTATTTGGATGTTAACAAAAACTCTTCTTGTGGTTCAGGTATATAGAGCACTAAAGAGCAAACCATTTTGCCTTCCAGCATAACACGCAAAATGCATGAGATTTAGGTGTCCTTGTGGCACCAAAAGTGCCCAGATAAACCTCTAAAGCCTAACAGCTTCCAGATAGAACTCGGTCCTTTATATGCCATCAGAGAGTATGACCACCTGAGGATTTGTTCTTAACAGGGTAATATTGGGTTCTCGGAAAAGTCAGGACGCATTTTTGCAATGAAAAACATAGAAATAATACGTCATGGCTTTTCCGACAACCCAATAGATGTCGTTCTTGGTTCAAATACTGCTAAGCAAAGTAAACTTGATTAGATGATATCTGTCTCCAAAGGGATGTTTTCTGATTGCTGGATACAGAGTGAGGTTCTGAGCATCATCCCCATCCTAAACAGAGTATGGTGCCTCTACCTTTCCATTATGCACAGTGCACTCAGGGGAAATAAGACGTCTGTGTGGATAAGAAATAAGACAGTGGTACTTAAAACTGCAGCATCAATCGCTGATTCAGACCACTGATTTTGCAACAAGGTATAAGGAAAGGAAACTCTTCCTTCTATGTCATTCATTCCTAGCTCAGTCACAGAGGATTGGGGCCTTGGACACAATGTTTAACCTCTAAGTTTCAGTTTTCTAATGCAAGAAATGCACATGATAATGGTATCTAACGTAGGTTTTTGTAAGGACTGAATGAAATAGTTCATGGAAAATGATTAGTTCAGTGCCTGCACATAATATTTTTTCAATCAATTGTTAAGAAATAAAAAGGAAAAAAAAGGACACATTATTGTATGCTGTAACAAAGGAGGGGGAAATCAGGAGCCTCTGTGAGAAAGGGAGAGGGGGCAACTGAACTGCTTACACAGCTGGGAGTTGAGCTGAACACAAGCATTCACAAGGCGGTGAGTATCTGGTTTGGATTTCTGCTGTAGTCACATGAGACATCTGCTCCTTGACTGATGACACCTGCTCCCTGTAGCAAATCCCCCTCTGCATAAAGGAAAGGAGTCCACGGGTGGGGTTGGATAGGTATGCAACTCTAACATTATTTTGATGATTCCGAATAATAATTCTTCTCTGCTTTCCTGTCTGTGTAGGTAACTTCAACATCTCTAGTCAGGAACCTATACCTGTGGTCCCTACTAGCTCACCCTCATATATCTTAGTCCATTATTCTGTGGAAATCAATGAAACGTATTCCACCGATGTCACTGTGCCGACTGGTTCTGTCTTCCTAGATGTGATGGAGGCAGCTCAGAAAATGAACAAGACTGCATTTTGGTATGTCTGTACATAACCTGAGTTTATGGGATTTAGTGTGATACTGAAATACATCTGCATGTGAATACAAAGTACATTTAAAACACTTCTTAATCCGTACCTTTGCTGTGCGTTTACATCTCACGGCAGGGGTTAAAAAATGGAGGTGAGACTTTTCATCTTTTAGCACATAGTAGGTATTAAATGTTCACCTAATGGATCAATAATCCCAAGGATCTCTCTTCTATCAGTAAAGCTCCTTCAATAAATACAACTTCTTAAGTCAGACATTTTGTGTCTGGAACAGTGGTTCTTAACAATTTTTGAATCACTAACCCCTTTGAAAATCAGATGAGTGGGATGCTCATCCCAGAAAAATGAACATACACACAAAAAACATCCTTTCAGTCAGAAGTTTCACAAACGCCCAGAAGCCCCTCCATGCCCATCCCCCGCTTCAGGAGATTTCATGCACCCCTAGATTTAGGTTCCCTGGCCTAGGGGGGTCATTATTAAAATTAAGATATTGACTTTGTCTCTGAAAAATATGGTTTATTTGGCTTCTTAAACCTAATCGACAATCATTGATTGCATCCAGTAACATGATGTCAGGTGGTACAGAGAAAAATCGCGCATATGAAAATATCTATGTGTGTATATATATTTTATATTCTAAATATACATATAAAATTAGAAAGGCCCCTATCAAGTGTTCCAGGAAGGTAGAGAAATGTGACTAAAGAATGTGAAACAGACATTAACCATGTCACTTTTTAATAAACAAACATGAAATATTAAATTATTTTTCCCTGTTTCTCTTTCTTAAGAGAAAACCTACTAACATATGACTTGTGGTGCCTCTAGGACATGAAGTTAACGCTTCCATCTACCGTCTTAGTATCTTTGGCAGTTACTACCTTAGGGAAGGTTAGAAGTTGTTGACTGCAAAGTGTCCCCATGGCGGGAGGGAGAGGCAGAAACCCTTGGCATCATTTATCTAATTTAGCATGGATTGTGGAATGCCCACATCAGAATCACCTGAAATGTTTATAAAACGTGCAGCTGCCTGGTCCCAGCCCTACAGAATCAAAGGATAGGGCCAGGAAATCTACATTTGGGGGGAATATCTTCAAGGTTCTTAGGTACATTAAAGTTTGAAAAATGCCCCCGTAGCGTTGCCTTTGAAAATTGTAAGTTCCTGTAACCCATTCCCTGTCCCCACAGTTTCACAGTGAGGGAGAGCTCGTGGGGCTCCTACATCACCTCTGTTCAAGGCTTGAAAGCCAACAGTAATGACAGAAGCTACTGGGAACTTCTGAGTGAAGGCAAGCCTCTGAGCCAAGGTGAGCGCAAGTCTGCCCAAAGCCCCACCGTGAGCGCGCCCAGAGCACTCGGATGCGAGGGTGTGAGCTTCCGTGGAACACGAGCCCAGCAGCTGGGAGAGGGACGTCCATCCATTAGTTAGTGATTCGGTGGCCAAATCGTTTGACCCACTTCTCCTTGTCTTCCTTTGCAGGAGTTGGTAGTTATGTTGTCCATAATGGCGAAAATTTGGAGGTTCGTTGGAGCAAATACTAATAAACTCAAACCATCCTCAGCTGGATCTAATTTTTTCTGCAGTGGCCCTCCATGTGGAAAGTGGCCTCAGGCCTTGCTTTTCATTTATCTCTCCCTTTCTCTCTTACGTTCAATAAATATTGACAACTATACCAAAAGAGCATGTTCTAATCATTTCACTTTAAAAGGGGATTATTAGTAGAGAGGAGACCCCCTCAGGAAGAAGTGACGTGAAAGAGGCTGGACCACGTCTCTAATAAGCTGAGTTCTACTCCAGGTTCCCCTGCTAACTCTCTGTGTGACCTTAGGCAACCGGGGAAAATAGAGGCAAGGTTCTAGGTCTAATGTTGCAGCTACAAGCAACGAGATCAAGCAGACAGTTTGTTGGGAGGCTGAGTTCTCTGAGGCCCAGATGCAAGGGACATATGGAGTGGACATGTGGCCCTCATACAGGCAGTGGGTGCAGAGGAAAATACTGCTCTGCTCAGAGGGAGAAATGTGAGGTTTACACATGAAAAGTCAATCCATAAAGTTCGAGGGAAAATGTCATCCCCTCCTCCAGCTGCCCCCCTTGGGTCCCACTTGTTCTCCCATGTTTGTTTTCCTTTCACGTCCCCCATAAAAATCACCCTGATATTCATAACATCAAAATACACATGCAAAAAAAAAAAACCCACGTCTGATGTTTATTTCAGCAGAATTCACAATAGAACAAAAAGTCGAATCATGTCTAAGCAGCGTGAGCTGGGTTGTGCTTTATGCTGAGGATCTGAGCCGCACGCACATCCAGTCAGGAACCGGACAGGCCTTTAAGATGCAAGGGGCAAAAGGTGCTTCCGATAAAGCGTCAAGTCACCCATTTCAAGCAACCCCCAAAAGGAAAATGCCTTCAGGCAGAATTAGTTACACTCTTTTAGCAGAGTCTCCCTTGTTCCTCCCATGCTTTCTTCATGGCAATCTTAGCTTCCTCCCCTCCCCCAGCAACCCTGCATCGTAGGGTTTGAACCCTCTTTGGGTTTGAATACACTACTCTCTGGTTCTCATCCTCGACTCTCAGGTTCAACTCTGCCTGGACCTCCATTAACCGGGGGTAACAGGTGCCCTCACAGCTAGACAGCAACACAATCCACCCTCTTGGGTCTGTGCTGCAGACGGCTGGGGGTGGGGAGGGCGTGGGTGGGGGTCGCCTCTTCCAGGACTCGGTGGTGCTGTTAGCATGGGGGGCAGCTGTCAGATCTATTTGTAGACTATACAATCTATGGGAAATTGAAGGATAATAGTTTAAGGTAACGAATATGCAAAATGTTAGAATTGGCATTACTGTCTCTAATCAAATGTTTGGCCATTCAGGTTTTCAATCAAGCACAACACTGTGCAGAGTGAAAGTGAACACTATAAATAATTATTAATACATTTGTAAAAACAAATTAAGAACTGGGATTATCCTGGGAAAACCAATACACATGGTCAGTTTTGTCCACAAGAAAAAATAAGAAAGCTCAAGCAAAAAACACAGATACAAAAATGTGAAAATAACAGAATGTATTGACCCTGCAATTGACCAATGAAATGAAATCTGAATACTGTAGGTCCCTTTGAGACCCCTAACTCCCCTCCCCTCCCTG